GTGATCACATCACTGCCTGTCAGATTTTGTGTCGATTTAAAAATGATCATGTTTACTTATAAGGCTTTGCATGGTTTGGCTCCCCATTATCTCTCTGAGCTTTTAGCCTCCTACACACCAACGCTTGATCTCCGCTCCTCGGAAGCTGGCCTTTTAATTGTTCTGCTTACTTGTTTAAAATCTATGGGTGATAGAGTGTTTTCTTCAACTGCTCCAAAATGTTAGTATTTTTGCCTGCTGAGATTAGGTAAGCAGAATTCCTTAGTATTTTTAAATCTTCCCTTAAAGCCTTTTTTAGGGTAGCTTTTACTTGATTATTTTGTAATTGTCAAATTTCTCTTTTTACTTGTAAAACTTTTGATAGCAAATCTTATCATTGTAATTTTATGAGTCAATATGAATCCAGTTCTTTCCACGCTCTTCTTTCCCTGAAATTTAAGAACATTGTTTAGAAGAAGAGAAACACTTCAAGGGGATCACTGCTTTAATATTTGTTTTTTAGGCTTAGAATGCAACATAATGCATCATTATAAGTATATGAGAAGTTCATATGTAAAATAATGCCATTTGTGAACTTTGAAAGGTTGTTCTTATTAAGTGTTTCAAGAATTGTATTACAAATTTCATTTAAAAACCTTGCTGTTAATACAGTTAGCAGTTTTTTTTAATGAATTTAGATATTTATTTAGGAATGTGAATTCTTTTGTTTGGATAACTTCTGCTGCTCCCCAGCTCACTCAGCAGCACACTCTCACCTTCACTTTATGGCGTGTGAAGTTTACCTGACCTTCTCTTCACATCCTTCTGTTTGCTGTTTGGAGAAGTCACTTCTGACCACTGTACTGAGAGCAGTTATGCTTCAGATAATCTGCTATTGCCTGAACACACAACATACCTCAAATATTTTGATAGAACCATAACAATGGCTTTAAGAAAGTGACATGTCATGTCTTTCATTTCATTTCCTACAAAAAAGACAAAACAATAAATAAACACTGGATCATGTAAGCTGTGTGTACATAATATGTGTGTGTACATAAAATGTCTACTACACACACACACACATATATATATATATATATATATATATAGTAACAACATTTGTTGATGAACATTGTTCTAAAGCAATATGAAATGAATAAAATGAAATGACTAAAATCTTTCTTCAGTTCATCATCAAAGTGCCACATTCTTTAAAAAATGGCCAATACACCTGAATAATTTTTCATTTTAAAAAGTGCACCTATTATGGTTTATGGAGAGTTTATTCAGCCATGCATGCATGCATTTATTTCAAATCAAATGCATCTGATCTTTAGCAAAAACATCTTTAAACATTTAGGAAAATAAAAATAGATGCAAGCAGTTAATCCACTTGCTATTTGATCAATGAGTAATTTTGGGTTCCTTGTATTTCTTTTTAAATTGTATAAAAGCATCAGTCCCTAACCTTTAATCATCTCATACCACATAGTGTGGTCTTTTGAGCTTTCCCTTTTGATCTTTCTTCCTTGTCTGCACACATAGCCTACGTCTTTTAAAATATCACTCAATCTAATTCGTCTAAATTTAATGTGGTGTACAAACTATTTTACGTTTGTTACTCTGATTTGAACCCTTTGTAAATGATGCTGTGTAACTCAAAAGTGCTTTATGTGGTACTATCTAAACTAAATAAATTATTTTACTTAAAATTATGATTTAATATGACTTAACCAGTTGGTTACATTAACGGGAGTCATTTTAAGGGTCAGATTTTCACTTTTTACAGCCCATTCAGCTTATTAATGAAATCCAAGATCTGCTTCTTTTCATGTTCCCTTCAACCGACTGTTAGAAACGAAAACTTTTTATACGTTTCGACAAATACCACGTTTGCTGTGTATGTTTCTCCGAGAAAAAGCTAGAAAACCCACATATTTTCAGATATTTAAATTAGTTATTCTAAAATAAATAAATAACGTATTTAAGTCACTGTACATCAAAGCTAAATGTGCATTAAAAGAGAAAGACTGAAAAGGAATGCAGCATACATTTTTTTCTTTTTAAATCCAGTATACGTCCATTCCTAAGTTAAAATATCTCTTCGTTTCAAACGCTCTCACGAACTTCCCCTCCAACTCACAAAACCCGCAACAATTCCGTTTCAAATCTACCTGATATTATCACTCCAAATTATCATTGAGTATCCAGACATTTTTCGAATGACTTTTTTGAGCAATTTCACAACAGATCTCATGAATTCACATTCAGGGAAAAAAAACAACAACCCAAAAAAAACCTCCTGCAACATTTCGTGAAAACATTTCATTTCACTCAGGTGCCAGAAGGGCTCCTGGGGGGTTTTCTTTTACTTTTAACATAAAAACTCGGAAAGGTTTCGCCCCTTTGCATCGAGCGTGTCGAGAGGCTTATTGAAGACCCCTGCTCCCCCACCCCCTACTCTCTCTCTCTCTCTCTCTCTCTCTCTCCTTCCCTCTCCCTCTCCTCCCCCCTCCCCCCATACTCTCTGCATCTTTTGCTGCTCTTAAAGTTTAATTTTGAAAAAAATTATTCCCAAAAAATTATTAAAAGTGACAAGGGCATAAGGGTACAAATAACAGGCTGTTAAGATGTCCTCTGTGCCTTGCTTTGCAGCCCTTTATCCTGAAAAAGCGAGCTCAGTCTGCTCTCTCTCCTCTCCACCGCTGCTCGCCTTTAATTAGTAAGGCTACACTCAACCCATATTCTTGATATTGTCTTCACACTATCCACCAACCAGTTGCTATATCTCTCCTCACTGATGATCTCTCTCTAGCTCTCTCTCTCTCTCTCTCTCTCTCTCTCTCTCTCTCTCTCTCTCACACACACACACACACAACATTGCCCTTGCAGTTAACGTCTGCCAAAGGTCCTGACTATTGGTCAGCCGCTTAGCAACACTTAGCAACCAAGGATGAGGAGTAATTTCCTCTGTGCAATCCCGTCTCTCCCTGGATCACTGAACATTCCTCACCACTGTCATTGACCCCTGTACATCATGCTAGACAGAGATGCAGAAGCCAGAGCAGTTCTGCCTTGAGTGGCCCATCAGGGAGAGAGAAAAGTGATGGGAGGAACAAGAAGCCATCTTAATAGAAGCCATCTACATTTAAACTCTGCAAACTTTAAAAACAGTAATATTGTGAAATATTACAGGTTTAATTGATTTGTTTTATATTTTAATATAATTTAAAGCTGAATTTTCAGCAGCCATTACTCCAGAATGCTACAAAGTTAGCTGAAACCTTAATACATATTTTTTCAGGATTTTTTTTGATGAGTAGAAAGCTTGAAAGAACAGCATTTATTTGAAATATAAATATTTTGTAACATTGCAAATGCCTTTACTATTTAATACATTTAATGCATTCTTGCTGAAAACATTAATTAAAAAAAAAATAATAATGTTTTTTTAAATCTTACTGACACCAATCTTGAAATGGTGGCCTCAAAAATGTACACTTTTTCTCACACACACACACACACACACGACACACACACACACACGCAGATACCCGCGGGTCGGAGGGGGTTGGGGTGTTGAGGAAACGGGCTGCTGTGCCCTGGAAGTGATTCTTCCCCCAAAACACAAGGTGAAACGGTAGCATCGGAAACCACACGCTGGACCTGCCCTCTGCATCTTTCATTAATTCAAACATTCTCTCCAGACACATAACCACAAATGTTCAATTGCTCAAGCAGCGTACAATCTTACTAGATGTTAAGTGATTAAACATCTAAAGAGAAACTATTTTAGTTCATCATTTGAGAATTGAATCTTATGATGTAGCGTCAGAAAACATCAACAGGACACTCCAGAAGATTTAAAGGCCATCCAAAGTTCGTTTACTTGTGTTTATGCTCATTGTCTTGGTTTCTAGTTAATGTAATGAATTATTCAGAATGATTCTCCATTCCTTCCCCATAGAAACATCATCCTCTTAAAAATTTAGTTTGATGAATATCTGCATGCATTTATTGTATTTTTTCTAATTAAACTGTTCTTCACTTGTGACTATCTGATGGGCATTGGAATACAAACATCTGATCTTCAGTAATAACTTTTTGTAGGAAAATAAATACATTTGTTTAATGTCATGACAGGCAGGACAGAAAGCCTCAACACACTTTAGAGGTTTTGAAGATCATCCAAAGTTTGTTTACTTGTGCGTGACCTTTTGTCTGATTGATTTCAAATAATAATAATAAATATATATATATATATATATATATATATATATATATATATATATATATATATAAAATTTTAATTAGATTGAAAGAACACTGTAAATAAACAGTGACTCCAATGCTCTTTTTTTTTTTTTGATTTATTACTTGCATTTTAGATGCATTATTTACATTTGTAAACCTAAAACCATAAACAATCAATAAAAACAACTCCAGGAAACCTGCCAAAAGTAGGTAAATGATTTAGGCTACTGTAAAATGTTTTCATATTCGTTTCCACTCATTTAACTCAAACAGTGTCTGTCATTTCTACTCAGTTTTCTTAATCAGTATATTTTTTTATCACTGCAGTTTGGCACCGCTTTCATTTACTTAAAGCAAAAAACAAGTTTAAAAGTTGTAATTGTTTAGCCTACATTTAAAAAAAATAATAATTTTAAGATAAAGAAATACATCTTCATGCAAATGCATTCATTAATCCAGAGTTGAATTGCTTAAGGCTGTATATAGCCTATTGCTTAAATATAGAGATTCATGAAAAAGGCATGTTTGTATTGCATTACAAACCAACGCGGCGTCCTGTATAAAATAAAGAGCTGCTTGTTGACTTAAGTTAGCATCCTTGCATTAAACATGCTGGCATTAAATAATTCAAAAACGCTATCGACTGTCTCGATGCGTTTACTTTCGATACACATTCAGCGACGAGCCTCATCAGTCCCGCCGTTATCTATCATGAATCACAACGATATGTAAAAACACACACCACGCTCAGCAGTTCACCAGCCCCTGCGAAAAGTTGGTGAAAGTGGCCTGACGTCACACTCCCACAATGCTCGCGCGCCCCATAACTCTGCTGCTGCAGCCTGAGGAGCGCGAGACTCTCAGGCCCCGAAAAAAGAAAAATTAGAGAAAAAAATTGGGAAAAAATAATAAAACAACAGATCAAGAGGTGAAAGACCGGGAACGGTGGTGTGGGGCTCCCACGGTAGGTTTGCGCTGAGTCGCTGCTGGAATGTGACGGCGGTTCCTTGTGAAATTGACTAATGCGCCGCTGGAAAGTTTTTGGTGGCAACTGCTCGTTTTTTTTTCTTCTGCAAGTACTCATAATGTAGCTGCACGCTCTGATGTGTGCATGTTTTTTTAATGAGATCCCGATAATTAATGCAACTCATTCGGCCGCTGATCGATATGGCAGATTATACACGAGCGCTTCATAGTAATAACACGGTTGATATTTTCTCTCGAGCCGACGTCATTTATTTTTGCCTTATGTTTGTAAAACATTGCTGAGGCTTCGGGTATTTAACTTTTAATTGGTGCACGTTCGCTCGCGCTTCGCAAACTTCATCGATAAATACAGTGCAGATGCTTTTTGTTTACAAACCGATACATTTGCATTTGATCGACTATCGGCTCGGCTGTGTCTGTTGATGTTCAGTGTGACTTTGGAGCGAATAGTTGAATTTTAAGTAATTTCTGAATATTTATGGCTGTGCTGTGAACACACACGAGCTGAAGCTCCGTTCCTGTTGAGTTTCAAACACTGGTTTATACAAACGCGTCTGTCTAAGAATAGTTCACTGCTTGATTTGAGAAAAGCACGCTTGGGCTGTAAATATACAACTATTTTCGGCTAGTTTGTCTCGTACTATAACTCTACCTCCGTGCTGCTATGGCTTATCTGCTGCTCGGCATTTGTTTGCCACAGATCGGTTGTTCCTGGGCGGATTGTGACTTTTCTATAATGCCGTCTTGTGTGAAAAACTGTTTGTTTGTGTATTCCTATCAAGAGGTGCTCAACAAACAAGAGTGTCAAGCGGTGGGTTGAGGTTGGGGGGCTCCGTGTTTTAATCTTCATTTACATATGGCTATGTAGAGATCATTAATCGAATCACTCTGCCGAGAAATGATCATATTATGTTCAATAGTGAGACAAAAGTGAACTTTGTTTACACTGTAAACAAATATATCCCACCAAATTGAAACATAAGTTTAAGTTCTGCATTTAGTTAGAGAGTAAAATCAAAGCGGTTCTTCAGTCACAACTTGAGTGATTAGTTTATTACACTTTTATAACCACATTGAATTGAAGAAAATATAGTTAAAACGGATCTAATTGAGGACAATGGCATGTACTGTTGTAACAAGTTCACTGATAGACCGAAATATGTTGTCGGAATGATTAAAACATGTTTACAGCACAGAGAGCTCACTGTAATGTTTTAAAATGTAAAACTAAAAGTTCATTTTTGTTATTTGGTCGCAATTATGCTTATGAAGTCTACCAATCATCCACCAGTAAAGGTGCAACACCATCCCTAAACACATGCAGATGTGTGACATCTCTTGAAAAAATGATGCCTTAAAAAACTTGAAAACTTGAGTTGAATTGGTGCTTTAAATATGATGTGAAATCAAAGTCACAATCTGCAAGGTTCTTAGTTTATCAAGCTGTTTTTGACTCTTTCGAATATTGTTACTAATAAGGGAAATGCAGTTGAAACACTTGAAGTGTATGCAATTAAAAATAAATTGCAGAAATGGTTGTGAGGAGTTGAAAAAATCGTTTAAAATGTGTTTTTGCATTGCCCATTGTAGTGGTTAAAGGTACAGAAATGGTAATTAAACTTCATTTGTCATTGCTGTTGTAAATGAGCATAACTGCGGCCAATCTTTAATTCACCAGTCAGCATGATTGCAACACTACAGTCACATATTCAAACACCTGTAGCTGAGTGATAACGTTTTCTCAAATATATGCAGTGATGTTTTAAACATACATTACAGAGTGAAAGCTTTTCATTTGCTTTGCCTGTTTTTTCTCTGGCTCTTGTTTGTGTTGTGCTAAAGTTACTTTTTGTTGCTCTGTGCTTTGAAAATAATCTAAATGAGACGTTTCACTTTGGCTAGATTCATTGGATGTATGTGAAAAGATGGCTTTCTAACAGTGATTGATAAAGAACAGGTTGCGACGAGCTCTTGTTTGGTGGTTGTGCTCCATCATGGCCTTCTACTTCCACTGCCTCGAGCTACATAATAAGGAAATGGAAGTGAGATCGTCACGAGACAGTGCTTTTGTTATTGACATTGCATGTTGAAACGCATATTGTTATGTTGAGGCCGTATAGTTTTTCAGCATTGGCTCTGGTTAGACGGTCTTTTGCTTCTGAGGGTCTTTACAAGGGTTTGAGGGAGAACGATTCTAAAAAATATTTCTGGTTCTCGTTCCATCTCAGATGTAGTTGTATTTTGTTGAGCTTGTCCTTTTTTGACACATCAGTGTAAGTTATTTCAAACATTTTCCTTGACATCTTTTAAAATGACTTTTTCTGCTTTGATCGTTTTTTTTTTATGTTGTGGGACATTTTAAACAAACGTTTCAGCAGTTTAATTTTCATGTGTTCTCTGAAAAGGCGTCTTACATGCTTGATTCAGTGTGCGAGTTAGAGAGAGAGACACAGAGCATGTGCATCAAGGGGGGTCCCACATCCCACAATTCCATGCTCCTCGGTGGGTAACAGGCTGATTATCATGAGAAAGCACATCAGAGGGGTTAATAGGTAGGACAGGCTTTGGAGAGCACAAACGCTACTTAATACGCAGTGTAGAATGGGGATCAGCCCTCATCTGAGTCCTTATATCCTCCACTTATAGTAGTGAGGAGTGAACAGGGACGATGCTGTGCCTGAGATTTGTGCCGAGTTATATTAATATAGCTATTTATTTTGCATTATGATTTAAGTGTTTTGTGACAGTAATATGGGCTTGTGGTTCAGTCGATGAGTTTGTTTGTATATGCGGTCGCAAGGATATAATATGTGTTTGCGTTTTGTCTAAATCCATGTCTAAAATGGGCACTGGGGAGTGTTTATGTGGGCAGTATGAACAGTAGCTGACCTGGTCACTAAGTTGCCTCATAAAAAAGGGAGGAGAGAAATAGAGAGATAAAATCAGGCCAAGTTCACAAGGACTTTATAACTCCTCCGAGTCCCGCAACACCAGATTTGATTCTTATCAGAAAATTATTCATGACTCAGAACTGACAGAAACTTGAAAAATTTTCGTTCAGGATTCAGATTTGCAATGCCTGTAGGCCTGAATGATTGTAGAAATAGAATTTTGCCAGTGGTGTTTTTAAGGCTACTTAAATATGATTAATTACAATAAATGAAAAACAATGTATTGCACGTTAAATGTGTATGACGGATATTAATTAGTGTAGAAAGTTGTAGAAATCAACTCCAAATATGCTATAAACTTTTACTGTGTGTAATAACCTTTTTGTTTATTAATAAATGTTGTAGAGTTGTAATTTATTGTTGTCACAAAAAGAAGCCCTCGTATATTAAAGTACTTTTCAAGTTCTTTTTCATATAAAATCTGTTAAATTTAGCAGAGATGGTAAACTTATGAATATGTCATCAAACAAAAAAAACAAAAAACAAAAAATTAAGATTGATTATAACAATGATATTGTGCAAATTAATAATACATTTATAATGTTCCATTGACAAATATTGTACTCTTGCACAAAGATTTTGATCTTAAAATGTCAAATTTGTTGATTTATATGAAATCCTTCCCAGAAACTGATTTGAATTTGTTTAGATTGTAATGTGAGGAAACCTAAAAATTTGGCTCATGTGGTAACATCTAAATTAAGTTTTATTCTAGCCAAAAATATTCCAAAATGTATGACAATAGTTTTAACACACACACACACACACACACACACACACACACACACACACACAACATTATTTAAAAGGAAACTATTTAAAACTTTCAGGTAGAAGTCAGGTAGCTCCTTAAGGAAACAAAGGGGCATAGTTTTGTTTTTTAAGTGTGGAAAGTCATAAATCGAATTGTTTATTATTTAGTCTGAATCTACTTATTTGATGCATTTTACACTGTCCTTAAACATTTTCTGAAGTATATATTTTAAGTTCCCTCATCAATCAGCATTTGATATGCATATGATGTAGCACAAAGCATGAAGATAAAAATGAAAGAAAGGAAAATAACATTTTAAGGGACTAAACTGTATGTTAGAGTGCAGAACAGCGTACAGCGTTCAGAGGGGGTATAAAACAACAATTTCACCAATGGCAAATCCAAGCTCATTAATTGCAGGAGAAAGCGTCATCAAATAAACCGAACAAAGAGTAATAGAAAAGAAATCCACACATAAATAGTACATGTGTAAATACATGCTAATGTTCTTGACAGCTTTGCAAAACAAGTCCAAACACAAAGTGTACACGCCGCACACACCACAACCAAGTCGCACACGCACAAGAAAAGAGTGTCTTTTTTTTCTCTTTGCTGGCACGCATTCTGACTTCACTTGCAGTATGCGGCGCCTTTAGATAGTAAGAAGACGCTAGATGTTTGAAACGCATAGCGCCACTGTACATGAGTGAAGCTGTGCTTTTCAAAGCAGCCGGCCAGGTGTAGCTTTTCAAGGTCCGAGTCTATCCATCACTGAACACCACTTATGCTGCAACCCCTCCTTCTCTTCCTTCAGATCCCCCTCATCCATTTTTCCACCCCAAAGATGGGTCTTCTTCCTCTCCGAGCTACTTTCTCACTCGTTTACTGTCTCTCTGCTATCTTTGTTGTGAATTTATTATCTTTCTTCAGGAAATTAACTGTTTTCTTTACTGTGCGGTAAATTCGTAACATCTTTTAATGTGATTACACTGATAATAAAAAACAAAAAATAGTCAAAAGATGCCATTAAATAAACAAAATAGTCAAAATATGCTATTAAATAATAAATTATATTGGAAGCTCACTAGAAATTATAGAAAGGATCCCACACTGTAAAAAACAGTTACATTAAGCAGCTATTTTTACCTGATCTAACCCTCAAACTTGGTTTTGTGTAACAATTAGATTTAGATAAATAATATTTTTGAATCAAGAGGTTTTTAAAAACGTCGGTTTTCTGTGCATCTTTCAAGTGACAGGCACAGAGTTTGA